CAGCCGGGGGAAACGCAGGGTGATGTGGTAATGAAAGATGGTGTCACCCTAATGTGCATAGACTGTGCAGTGTAGAGGAGATGTGCCACTGGCAAGACCAGCTGACTTAAAAATATTCCCCTTGTTTAGGCCCCCTGACCCACTGACTCTTGCCTCTCTAGCAATCCCCCACTGCTCCATTTCCCCATCAGAGTCGGCGCAAAATGGTCACATGGGAGGAGGTCACATGCTCTAAGTACCTAGTATATTGCATTGGCTGAGGTAGAGGAGGGAATGTTAGGGAATCACTGGAGAGGTGAGTCAATGAGTTGGTGGGGTGGCATTGTATGGACAACGCCTCTTTAAAGCAAACCTGCCAGCCATTTTAAACGCATAACAGGCCTTACTAGATGCATAATCTCAAGTGACAGGAAATCCCCCTCTCTGTGTTCTCCTTTGAAACTATTTTGGTTATCTGGGGCCAGATTTTAGACCCAAAACTGGCCAGTTGGCATACCCCCGTCCCATTAGTTTGCTTTCATTGGTCAATCTTTGGAGGCCTGTAGGTAATAACTGGCATCTTGTAGTATATGCCCTTAGCATAGAGCTGCTTCAGATTGGCTGAGGGGGTGCAGGTTTATAAAAAGTTCACTTCAATTCAGCCATAAGCTTCTTCTGTGTGCGTTGTGTCCCATGCGTGTCCTTCACACTGGCTGAAATGTGCTGCTCTCGTTGTTCAGGATGTTTGGATCCGGCAGAGAACATAATTTTACCCGTCCCAATGACAAAGGAGAGTTTGAAGTGGCAGAAGGAATCAGCTCCACCGTGTTCCGGGCAATCCTGGTGAGATGTTTGGCCTCGGCAGCCGGGTCCGTTGTTGTTTTCCAGCACTCTGATTTCACCTCTGACTTGGATCTCTTTCCATTCATCTGTCTCTCTAGAACGCTCCCACTGACTGTCACTTTCTTTGTGTCTGCATCTCATGTCTCCAGATAACACTCTGCAATTCCGGCTTTTGAAATACTTTGATGTTTGCATTTCTGTTCTTCTGCGTGTTTGGCTGTTGGCTCGGAGTTGATCTTTAAAGTAAATCTCCATGTAGTATCGGTGGGAGGGCGCTGACTGGGGGTATCGGTGGGAGGGCGCTGACTGGGGGTATCGGTGGGAGGGCGCTGACTGGGGGTATCGGTGGGAGGGCGCTGACTGGGAGGGGGAATCGGTGGGAGGGCGCTGACTGGGAGGGGGAATCGGTGGGAGGGCGCTGACTGGGAGGGGGAATCGGTGGGAGGGCGCTGACTATTTTCCCAGCTCCTGGTCATTTTTTTATCCGTGTATTTTTGCTCTGCGGAAGGAAAAACAAATCTAAATTTATGTCCTGAAGCCGTTCTGCTGCAATCACCATTCTTCACCCAGCAGCCTGCGTTTCCGGCAGTTCTCGGTACTTTCTCGTTTTTATTAGGTTGCTGCGTCATAAACTGCTGCTTGGCACAAGTGCGTTGCGGTGCACTTGAAGAAGAATGAGATTTTTCGGGGAATGGATTAGGATGTTGCGGTGGAGCAGCTGTGTGTCTATGGGCTCAGCACTTAGCCGCGGTGGAGAGACTTCGTTCCTGAGTCACTGAGCTCCGTCCTCTGACTCTGCTGGGGCTGATGCCAGCATATCTTATTGCTGCAGTCATACGGCAATCAATAAGGATGCTGCTTCCCATAATTATTCCCTGTCACTGCTGCAAGGAACCGCCGAATCACTGTAGACGTCTTCAGTATAGCAGGAGCCCAGGGTCACCTCATTGTGGGCAGCGCAGAGGCTTAGTGGTTAGCAGCATCCCATCTGCATAGACTTTGCATGTTCTCCTTGTGCTTGTTTGGGTTTCCTTCGGATATTGTGGTTTCCTCCCACACAGCAAAGACATGCCGGAAGGCCAATTGACTCCGGTCTAAATTGGCCCACATCGTATGAGAGATGGGGACCTTGGATTGTAAGCTCCTCCAGACCATTTGTTTTAAACTAGGTAGCAAAAAACTATTCATTGATTATTATCTCTGTGGTCTTGTGGGTTGGGGTTATGGCTTTCCGATCAGAGGCACCATCTGCACTACTGACCAACCTCTCTATGTCTATAGCCACCTTATAGACAGTCCAATAGACCTGGCCCTATAGAGCAGGGGTAGCCAAACTCCGGCCTTCCAGCTGCGGTGGAACTACAAATCCCATGAGGCACTGCAAGATTCTCACAGACCTGACTAGCGGAGAGATGCATCAGCTGGAGGGCCGGAGTTTGGCTATCCCTGCTATAGAGCTCCAATGATCAATGTGCAGCACTTCTGAACAGGAAACTGCAACACAAAGTATTAAAGAAAGCTCCTCTGCACCTTAGTAAGACAACCAAAGAGGTGCCGCTGTCTTTATAGACAGGTTCTCTTTATCTCGTAGTGTTTTCACTGTCCATTGGGAGGCTGAGGAAGCTCTCATTGTGTCACCAGAGGGAACATAAAACTCTTTTCAATCGCCCGCAGTGTCAGTTGGCCTCATTCCCGGAATCGGAAGAGTCCTCATCTCGGCGTGACAGCGTCTATATTTACCCCCCCAGAGCCCCTGTGATGTGATGATGGGATCCGGTGAGTGCCTGGAAAGGCTTTACCACAAGATTCCAATTAGTGAAGTGACTTTGTGCCGGCCCGGGCTTCACTCTGCAAGAGCTTCTGAGTAATTAGCCGCTAATCATGTTGTTGTTTATCAACAGCATTAGAGATCACGTGCCGTTCAGTCCCTTCTCCCGCGTGGCCCCAGGACGGAATGTGTTCCTGTGTTGGAGCCGCCCTGCACTTCCTGGCCACATCCCTGGGGATGACATTGATAGCCCACAGGAGAGATTGCGAGTCGGTGCCCTCCCTCCGCTGTGGCACGGGCCCCCCGGCAGAGACTGTGAGTCGGTTCCCTCCCTCCGCTGTGGCACGGGCCCCCCGGCAGAGACTGTGAGTCGGTGCCCTCCCTCCGCTGTGGCACGGGCCCCTGGCAGAGACTGTGAGTTGGTTCCCTCCGCTGTGACACGGGCCCCCGGCAGAGGCTGCGAGTCGGTTCCCTCCCTCCGCTGTGGCACGGGCCCCTGGCGGAGACTGTGAGTTGGTTCCCTCCGCTGTGACACGGGCCCCCGGCAGAGGCTGCGAGTCGGTTCCCTCCCTCCGCTGTGGCACAGGCCCCCGGCAGAGACTGCGAGTCTAGTAAATGACAGACAAATGTTCTTTTGAACTCCGATCTATTGACCTGAATTTTTGCACCACAGGAGCTTACAATCTAATCCCATCATCCTTCTACAGACACACGAGGCTGAACTCCGCCATCGGCCAGTTTAGCTTCCAGTCTGTCTGCGTTTTGGGAGGAAATTAGTGAAATCTGCAAAAACATGGAGCAGTACTACGCACTCCATGCAGCATATGTCTTGTGAGGACTTAAACCCCAAACTCTGGTACTTTGAAGGAGGAGGTTTAACCACCGAGCCACCGTACCGGAGGGAGGAATAGGGAGGGGCTATGAATTGAGCAGTTAACCCCTGCAGTGCTGCAGTAGTCCCACTGCACAGGGTTTTTATAGCTGGCGGCATTAAATGTTTGGGGTTCTTTTTAACTGCAGGCCGTGTAAGTAGCTGCATTTGGATTATTGTGCTGCTTCCCCTTTCTAGGTTTAAGCTTTGCTGTAGAGGGACTGCAAAAGGCTGATACAAGGTCACTCAGTTGTGCTGCAGTGCTCGGAACATGCCGATAGGAGAAAGGAGAGTGAAAGAGAGATGAGGTCATCATTATGCTGCTTCTCCTTTCACTGTCCAGTCACAGCCTGAGGCCTGTAACGTAGGGAATGCATGGTGCAAATTTCCTGATGAACCGGCTGAAATGTATACATTGGGTGCCCCTTCTGACCGGCATCCCTCAATCAGCTGATTGGAGGAGCCGGTTGGAAATTTCTGAGCTGAACGGAGCTTGCAGCCAATCGGCAGAGCAAAAACAAGTTCTCCCGACAGACAGGGCTGTGCTGTGTGGCAGGGCTATGCAAGTCTCAGGACTGGATGGACAGAAATGCAAATCCTTTGTCGGCTAAAAGGAAAATGTATTTCGGTTTGCAGTTTAGGGGGAGTGATGAGGTCAAAGCCTGAACTCCAGGCAGGGTTGGCCATTAATCTTCCTCCACTTGGTATCCCGAATTTAAAGGGCCCGCGTCCTGGCATTGGTTCTGACAATCTTTTGACCCGGAAATGTCCCGACCTGACGTGAGTGCCGAGCTTTCAGTGACCCCGGCAATGTGCAGCCGGGATTGCTGTAGCCAGCGTCTCATGGTGTGGAATGCGGGCGCTGGGTGCAGGTGTCGGATGGGTGCAGCTGACGGGCGCTGGGTTCCGGATGTCGGGGACGGGAGCAGGGGAAGGATTTGTGTTCATAGACGGCTGGCTCCGGGCCTATAATTTTCTGACCTTTGACCTTCACCTCCCTCCGTCTCACCTTTTTTCTGCTTTTGTCATATTTTTTTTGGTTTCTGGTTTTTAATTGAATGTTTGTAATTTCATAAGGATTACTACAAGACCGGGACCATTCGTTGCCCGGACGGCATATCCATCCCCGAGCTCAGAGAGGCCTGTGACTATCTGTGTATCTCCTTTGAATATAGCACTATCAAATGTAGAGACCTCAGTAAGTATCCCGCAGCCAGGGGGCGCTCTCGCCATCCTTTTATTAACCATATTTCTTACTCGTTACTAACTTGTAAACCGGTTGGTTTTGGGGGGCAGCTGTCATCTGCATGTAGATAGTATGGCAAGTGTCTCCTTTCATTTTCTCTCCAGCACTTCAGGATAGTCATCGGGCACCAGCTTACAAAGTCTAGGATTGAATTGCCACACCGTAACATTTAAATTCTTTCCCATGACAAGTTTTTTAAAAAATCAACGCGTTTCGGGTGTAACCCCCGCCCCCTTCATCACGGCTGAACTGTGACATGAAACAGAAACTACTAATATCTTTTTAAGCACATCGAGATTGTCTAGGACTAGACTATGATCATAGACTCCCTCCATGTGGATAAAAGATTTGGTTACATTTTTGCAACTTTAGTGTTACATTCCAGCCCTGATGAGGGGAGGGGGCGGAGTTATAGCCCTTGAAATGCGTTGGGTTTTGTACAATACTTTGGAATAAAGTTACATCTGGACTTATCAATACTGTGTAGTTCTTCAATCCAAGACTTCTTCCTCCTCACAACCGAAGGTGATCACGGAAATCCTTTGGTGTGCAGAAGCTGTCATAGTCATGCCGCCATGATGTCATGTGATCACATAGAAGAACTCTCCGCCTTTAACACGCTTTCTTTATTATCTGGTACCAGCTGTCCTGTGTCTCGTGTCTACAGTTGCACCTCTGCTATTTCTCTCCGGGTTTCTAATCTGTCTCACCTTTTCATTGTTTCAGGTGCTTTGATGCACGAGCTGTCCAACGACGGGGCCCGGAGACAGTTCGAGTTCTACCTGGAGGAGATGATCCTGCCGCTGATGGTGGCCAGCGCCCAGAGCGGGGAGCGGGAGTGCCATATTGTGGTGCTGACGGACGACGATGTGGTGGATTGGGATGAAGAGTATCCCCCGCAGATGGGAGAAGAGTATTCTCAGAGTACGTCCTCCCATCTCTTCTCCGGCCCGCCTCAATCCTGTTTCTGTAAAGTGAGAACTCCGTGTTCAGATCCGTGTTCTGGGGAAGATCCGGAGATCTCTTTGTACATTCAGAAATGCGTCATCAATACATGGCGGAGGAACAAGGAGTGCGACACCGAGGACTGCGCTGCGGGACAAAATCATCTCCACTTCTTATAATGAAATGGATGATGAGGGGCAAAAAGACAGGGGAACCATATTGGTGGTCAGTGCAGAAATGGCCCTCACATTGGTGGCTTTTATAAGACACCTTTACGTTGTGGGATGCCATGGGGCCGCTGCAGTAAGGGGACATTGTGTACCATCATAGGACACCCCCTGCACCTTCATCGCCATTGTAGGACCCCACCTCACATTGATGGTCACTGTAGGATCCTCTTATATTGGTGGTCACTGTAGGACCCCCCTTTACCTTGGGGGTTGTTGTAGGCCCCCTCCCCTTACCTCGCACGGGCTCAGGGGGGGGGCGGCTCTATAGGAACTGATCATGATGTTAAAAAGTTTCTCACAAATTGGGTTAATTGTCGTTTTTTGTTTTTTCAGTCATTTACAGCACCAAGTTGTACCGATTCTTCAAGTACATCGAAAACCGAGATGTGGCCAAATCTGTCCTGAAGGAGCGAGGACTCAAGAAGATCCGGCTGGGGATCGAAGGTGAGACGGGGGGCGCCCCTCTGTACTGTGTATCAAAGATCCCAACTGGGCAGCAGAGATTTTGTCCATAGCAACTATGATCTCCTCCATTATAAACCTATGTCCCCCCTCCCCCAGGGAGAAGCAGCCAGGAGTCTGCACCGGGCATGTCTGGGAATTCTCTGCGGCATTACAACCGGGTAAACACAAGGGGTTCCCAGACAATAAGGCCTCATTCACACTGCTAAGAGCCGGTCGCGTACTCCCATAGAGAAGGACGGGGGCTGCGTACAATCACACGCAGCTCCTGCACTTCCCGGGAGCTCCCCGATACGGCCCTGCACAGAGCTGTACATGCCGCACGGATCGGCTCCACGCTGTGTGAATGAGGCCTAAAGTGGGTCAAGTGCTGAACCACCGCAATGCCTGGATGAGATGCCGATGTCCCGAGCTCTCCTGGAGGCATTTCAAAGCTGAATTTTATTTTCATCCGGAGTATACATTGAGGTGTATCTAAACCCCGGGACACCAAAGTCATATTGCAGCTTACCCATCCTCCGATGCGGCGTCTGCATTAGTTTCCTTTATTTTCACTTGATGATCCTGCCAGTAACACACTTCCTGTCTGATGACAACATTCGCCGTACTCCATGTATGGGGGAGGAGTGTTATCACCTTAAGCTGCTCTCCTGATTTGGACTACAGTCCCCTCCTCTCCATCTCCATTACATAGGTAGGAGGAGGGATTCTTTTGTAGTTCCCAGAAGGTGGCAACGTTGTATGAGATTTCCGTTCTGCCCACAGGAAGTGACGGGGACACATTTCTGGCAGGAACAGGTTTCCTGCGCTTGCTGAAAATGTGCATGGCCTGAGTCCCCCGGACCTTTCTCCCCAAATCTCAGAGGGGTTTCATTTCAGCGAAGTCTTGGCTCCTCCCACGTTTCAGGTTTTGTAGTTTACCCCAACTTACTAACACATGTTTACTAGTTCTAGACTCCTCCCCCTCGTGCAGCAGCAGATCACTTCCCTTCACCATATTAGATCAGTGCCTGGGACTCGAGTGGCTGAACTTCTTCCATTCCTCATCTTTTGTTTTTGTTTTTCCCCTCAAGGTTACCCAACATACAAGGAGAAGGTGAAGAAGAGGCCGGGCGGGCGCCCCGAGGTCATCTACAACTACGTGCAGCGGCCCTTCATCCGCATGTCCTGGGAGAAGGAGGAAGGGAAGAGCCGGCACGTGGACTTTCAGTGCGTCAAAAGCAAATCCATCACAAACTTGGCCGCGGCCGCCGCCGACATCCCCCAGGACCAACTAGTAGTCATGCACCCCACACCCCAGGTGGACGAACTGGACATCCTGCCCAATCACCCCACCTCTGGCAGCAACGACACCGACCCAGACGGGCAGAACTCTACGTTATAATACGAGGCCGGGCAGCGCCGCGTCTGCTGGGCACAGTTGTGGGTCCTTCACATCCACGGGAGGCCTGTAATGGGGCATTGCAGGAGCCAAGCGTCACCGGGAGCCACTGATGCTTTCTCTACAATCATTGCAATGGGAGGGCAGGAGCGGACGGGTTGATGGTGTCGCCGGTACCGTAGACCGATGAACCGTTTTTTGGTTGTGCAGTGTGGATTTTGTTGTTTTCCGTTTTTCCAAGACCAAGGAACGAGGTTCCGGCCGTGTACCGTGTTACCGTGGCTTTGTGATGTCGGCTGTCTCTTCACTCTCCCCCCCCTCCATGTTGTAACAGAAACCCTCTAACGCTT